CCCGCGGCTCGTGCGACCGCCGCGCGCCCACAGTGGCGCTTCTGCGGGCGGCACAGAGAGCGCATGGGGCCGTGTCCCAGGCTCCCCGCCCCCGCCAGCCCTCCACGCCCTCCCAGGACCCCGCGGCCTGACCGGGGAGCTTGGGGAGGACGCGGTCGGATCTCCGCAGCAGGCCCGCCTCTACCGGGAAGGTCTCCTTGAGGGTCTTCTGAGGGTGAGAACCGCAGGATTGGGCTCCCATAGGAGGGCCGGAGTCCCTCGCCAGGATCGTAGGGCTGGAAGCCCGCATGGGCACCAAGGGAGGCCCTCCGACGGGGTCAGTGGTGGGTCATGCACTGGGAAGCCTCTGGTTGGGAGGAGCCGGGACGCCCAGTCGGGGTCACCCCAGAGCCACTCACCTGGAGCTGCCTGAATTCGTCCCAGCTCCTGCGCACCAAGGTGTCGCTGCCATCTGACCAGTGCACGGAGAAGGCAAAAGTCTGTGAGACGAAAGGTTGGGGGCGCCTCAGAGGGGCTGGGCCAGGCACACCCTCCCTCCCCCTTGGGACCTGCGAGGACTGCATCAGGTCTCACCTGAAGCCGCTTGATCTGCACCAGGGCTGCCCCATGCACTGACACCGGGTGCCGGGAGCCTGCCATCGCTGTGGCCTCCTGGGTTTTGGGCTTCTGGAGTGGGTGGGGAGTGGCATAGGATCCCGCTGATTCCCCGCCCTGGAGCGGGCTCCCCGCACCCGGAAGACCGGCTGGAATGGAATTCCCCACCTGCAGTGTCTCTATGGAGCTGCCCTGCCCTTGTGTCCTTGTGTCGCAGCTTCCTTGCTGTCTACCAAGCCCAAGACCTGGGGAATAGAGCACAGGAGCACAGGGCTTGGGGGTGCCCAAGGCAGAGCTGGTAGGAGAAAGAACAAGCTACCAGGCCCTGGAAGTGCGCAAGGCTGTGTCCTGAAGAAGGGGCGGTGTAGGCTGGGACTGCCACCTGGGGCTGTCCTGCCTGAGTCTGGCCATGGGAAGAGAGAGGAAAAGGAAGGGCCATCAAAGTGCCACCTGGCCAGGCCCAGCCCACCTCTCAGGGCTCTCCCATGCTCTTCCTAGTGCTTGAACTGGTGTAACCTTCTACCAGGGTGTGTCCAACCCCTGTCTTTGAACTCACCTGTGGGGCTCTGAACAGTTGTCATCCAAAATTTCTGACTTAATCTTTAAGTTGGTGTAAAGGTCTCTTAATGTCCCCAAGTCATAGAAGAGGAAATTTGTATTAAATGGATAATTATTGTGAGTTTTTCTGTACATGTTGGGGGAGGGGCAGACCTCATAGGATTACCCCAGTGGTTCCTCTGCAGTGGGGAGATTTAGGCAGAGGAATAGGGTCCATCTTTGCCATTGGGTCACTAGCACTGCTTTAAGAGCCACCTCTGAATGAATGATTTATCACAACTTACTGCAAGCACAACCTCTGCAGTCAAGAGTGACCCATTTCCCCATCAATAAGGGTGGGTGTGGGAGGCCCTGGAATTCCTTGACAGAGGGCTTGCTCAGGTGCTCCACCTTTCTGGGCTGCTTCCTTATAATGATTTCCAGAGCCCCATTCAACCCTGGTGTACAGTGGTTCTTCCTAGTGCTAGGGACACCAGCACTGGTGTTGGGATTTTCCCTACACCAGCCTCTCCAGAGAGGAGTTAGCCTCTGGGGCATCCCTCCAGGAAACCGTCTTGGCCTCAACAAAGCATCTTTGTGTGTCTGTCCCATCAGTGGCTCTGAAGCTCTCGAACCTCCCCTGGTCTTGGCCCAGGCAATGAACACCTGCTGATACAGGCCTGATTTGCAGAGTGTCTTCAACCCAGCTGTCACCCTCTCCCCAACCTCAGCTGAAGGCCCAGCTGGCCTGGTGGGGTCCAGGACAGGACAGACTCTGCTCCCCTGAAGACAAAGGAGAGAAGCTGGGGAAGGGCAGGATTTATTCCCAGCTAGAGACATAGAGGGGTTCTGAAGCCCTCTCCCCACCCCAACTGACAGCCTCATGCTCCACACCCCCACCAACCCTGGATACTTTCCTCTTTCTCCTCTCCATAGCCCTACCCTCTTCACTCACAGAACAACTGCAATAGCCCCCCACCCCCAAACCTGTGCTCCTCACTTGCCCCTATAAGATCCTCATGGCTAGCTTAGCATCAGCACAGCCAGGTTAAGCAACTTTCCCCCTTTCTCCTCCTCCCCTTTCCCTTTTCTGCTCCAGGAATTGAGCAGCGAAATTCCTCTCCTGGCTTCTTCGGGCTGGAGCGCTTTGCGCTGATATAGTAACGACACTAATTAGAAGCCTATGCCTTAACCGACCAGGCATTATCAGACTACAAGGGCTGTGTCACCTTGCATACCACTGATTTCAAAATTGCCCATTATTCTGTCAGAACTCTCAAAGCCTTATAAACCCCTGCTTCCCTTTATTTGGGGGAACTGATCTGGCTCAGTCTCCCCTCCACATAAAACTTTTTGGCTGAAATGGCGCCTGGCTCAAGTCTCTCTCTTTCCCCTTTCTCTGTCTCACCGAACCTAACAATAGCCAGAGGAATCTGCAAAACAGAAATTAGATAACATCCGGGTAGCCTTGCCCACAACTATACAGAACCTTCCCACTGCCCATAAAATAAATTCCAGTCCCCACAGCAGCCAGCAAAGTCCTTTGTGGGTTGCTGTCCGCCTGTGGACCTCCCCTCCCACCACCTTCTTCAGCATCCTGCCCCGCCGGCCTTTATGCTCCGGCAAAACGCGAAGACTCTCCCATCTTGGGCTTGGCCGTGAAGGTGCTCCTCAGCTCATTACTCACCCTTCAGGCCTCTGCCTAAGGGTCACCTCCTTCAACGAAGCTTTTAGGATATACCACACCCTCTGCATAGCCCCAAGCAGTTTGTAATTGACGTTTATTAGTGTGACTCCTCTGTCTTGACCACTGACTGCACTATGAACCGAGAAGGTCAAGGACGGAGTCTTGTTCCCGGTTCTGCTCAGAGCCCGGAACAGAGAAGGCATTGCACAAATATCTGCCGGGTGGAATGCGTCAGCGCATGGAGGCAGAGGCATCCCTAAGGCCGCTCCCGAGGTGGGCTTAACCCCTTATCAACCCTGGGGCCACAAAGTGCGAGCCCGCGGCAGTCAGCACACGCAGTCTCCTCTGCGGTCGCGGCCCCGCCCCGCGTTGCCAGGGCGTCCGTTGCCATGGCGCCGGTCTCCGAGCAGAACCGCGCGCCTAGCGCTCTAGCGCGAGCCGCAGTCTGTGCGGTCACGCCCCGCCCCGTGTTGCCCTGACGCCGGGCCCCGGCAGGTGGGCGCGCCCCTCAGCCGAGGGAGCAGAGCCCGGCCGCGGGCGCGCGGGACGTTTAGAGTGGAACGATGGGGGCGTCGCGGGCCGCAACGCGGACTTCGCCCGGGCCTCAGCCCGAGTCCATAACGCGCCGGCGGCGCCGCTTCCACAGCACGCTGCTCTTTTACTGGAGGAAGGGGGAGCGCCGCCACGAACGACGCAAAGCGGGCACGGGCCGGGGCACGAGGGCCCGGGGTGCGGGCAGGACGCG